CCGTCCTCACGTTTGTCCACATATCCATCTAATTGTATCGGTCTCTCTCCCTGACGCATAGTTCTATCTGTCCGTCCTCACGTTTGTCCACATATCCATCTAATTGTATCGGTCTCTCTCCCTGACGCATAGTTCTATCTGTCCGTCCTCACGTTTGTCCACATATCCATCTAATTGTGTCGGTCTCTCTCCCTGTATGTCTGTGGGTATGTGAACTAGTGAAGTACTGTTTATTTTTTAAAGCAAAGCAATAGCAGGTTGGTTGTCTGCTGTGTTCACCGCATGAAACCGAAACCCGGAATTTAGCGTTGTAAGTCTGTAAACTTACCGTTGCCTCAACGGGGGACAAAACTAGAGTAAAACATTAGTTTGGGTTGGACACTAGATTTATAAAACGTGGTTGAAAATAAATCTTATAACATGTCATTTAAAACATTTTGGGTAGTCAAATACTTGTGCACGTTTAGAACAGTAACTATAAAATTATGGTTTGTTTTGTTCTCAATTTCACGCAAAGCTACACGAGGACTGTCTGTGCTAGCTGTCCCAAATTTAGCAGTGAAAGACTAGAGGGAAGGCAGCTAGTCATCACCATCCATCGCCAATTACTGGGCTACTCTTTTACCAATCAATAGTAGGATCCAAATTATAATGCCCCCAAGGCTGAAAGGGCGAGCATGTTTGGTGGGACTGGAATTCGAACCCGTGATCCTCAGATTGCGAGTCGAGCGGGCAGGAAAAATGTTCATGTTGTCCGTTTAATTTTTAAATAGACGTGAGTTATATGGTTTTGAGAGTATTTCAGGAAATTTGGTTGGTTGTTGTTAAGAGCAATGATACACAATGGGCTGTCTGTGCTCTGCCCACCACGAGCATCGAAACCCGATTTTTAGCGTCGTAAGCTTGCAGACTCACTGCTTAGCCACTGGAGAGCATGTCCGTAAAGACAGTATAACATAAGTCAAACAGCCACGTCTCAATTAACAGTTGCTGTTTGATTGTTTATATAAAATTAAGTTTCGACATGAAAGTATAAAGAAATCCTCACCTTAATTCTGATGTAATGTGACAAAAGTGGAAAAATAAATCCATCTCCAACTTAATCATATCATAACAGTTTTTGTCAAGCAGTGTCGTATTACATCCGGCTTGAAGACATCTGGTATTACACGAAAGGCCTCATCAGCACTGGATATAGCAGTTATAGTGTGGTTTAAATATAATTATAAAGTCTTCTCGACCTTCCTTCGGAAGTCCTTATTGATAATTACCACTAGCATATGTGTTGTGCTGTTTATAACATTTGTGTCTGTGTGTCTGTCGTACACGCCGAAAAGATTGTGGTACGATACAACTGACCGTATTAATCCTATTTAATAAAACTATATTTAGATATATATCTTTTTTCTAAACTTGGAAATAGGAAAAAGTATTTTGTTTTTGTTGCAAACACCGAACTGTTTTTATTGGCTATGCGATGTTATGACTTTTACCTCATTACAATAAAAATGAATCAATCTTCAGTTAGAAAACATCAAACAAGGACCTTTTTTCTCATTACTATGATAAAGAACTTACTTACTAGTAACAGTAAATACATTGACTTACAAGTGTGTTGCTATTTACTAGTAACAGTAAATAGCTTTGACTTACAAGTGTGTTGCTATTTTTTTTTATTGTTTCGAGGAGTAACAAGAGACACATAACTCGCTTTAATTATACCGTTAGGCCTTTCATAGAGTTAGCTATACTGTTAGGCCTTTCGTAGAGCATTATAAAATCAGAATAATAATTTATTGGGCGTGAGCTTAAAAACGTGTAACTGTCTCTTTCTACCATGGGAAGAGGGTTCAGTCATTCTGAAAAGTGTAACGTCTTAGAATGCCTTACCTAGGACATTGTACAGGTAAGAGGAGAGTGGTATTTGTATGTGGTCACTTGCAGAGGCCACCTCTGAGTAGGATAGTCGCCCTTCATCCCTTGGGGCTAAGTAACCTAAGCCGAATTCCCAGTATTGTGTCCTAGTAAATCTCAGTCCAACGAATCTAGTATGCATGAAGCTAGAACCTAAAAAAATCAGAGCAACAAAGAATGCTTTAAAGTTCGCATACGTAGAAAGAAACCTGGAACAAAGAGCTTATCTCGCACCCAATACTCTGGGTGTATAGCACGGCACAGTTCTTTAGCTCTACAGTAT